AAAATATATCACAGTGGGACTGAACCTGTTCAGAAATTCAGGTTGTGTTTGGTGACTTCGATAAAAAGCATTTAAAAGAGAAGAATTTTAACTGGGAGAAGTGAAATATTTCAAAAGTTTAGCTAAAATGTTCTTAAGTGGTTAAATAACTTAAAAACAACCAACATATTTTGAATATTATAGTTTGCCAGTTTTGTTTTGTTTTGTTATTCTAGTTATTTATTTTCTTTCTTTATGTATTTATAGTTGATTTTAATTCCAGAATTTTTTTCCAAGCTGAAAAATCCGCTATTCATGCAGCCTGCCTCTGTCCCTACCACATGAAGGCATGCTAAGAGCAGGAGACCCCATGTATTCATATGCACAGGGGCCAGTATAACATAGGCTGTATTCCTGAAGTGTTGAAAAATATAGAATTAGAATAACATAGACAATTACAACATCTTCAATGCCTTATTTGTCAATACAGTGTTAGAATTTCATGACTGTAAAATAATGTATCATTTTTCACAGAAAGCACTTAAATTGGCAAAGCATAACATTCTGGGGCATGTAATTACAACACTACTGCAGATGCTCAGGTATCACAGTGATAAGCACTAGATAGGTGGATCACATAGAAATGAGAGCTATTTAGTCTACAGATTCTTGTCTGTACTTTCATTTGGAAGAAATGTCTAATGAGAGCTTCCTTTATATGAATTGTCAGATTAGAATTTAACAGTTGAAATTATTTTGTTTTCCAATTATAGAATTGGTTTTCATTATATCAAGCAAAAGGGATATCAGTGCTATTACATCAGGGATGAAACTGGAGTTTTTTAGATTTTTGAATCCTTATAAAATCTTGATTGCTGTCTCAAAGTCTATGGTGAACAGGGCCATGTAACAATAGCAGTTGTCTTTCTATTGCAACACAAAGTTAAAAATTGAGGGTATGTAACAGGATGGTCTGGCCCTTTAAGGATGTGTGCGAGTGTTACATTTAGATTGCTCTGACCAAGTTTAGGGTGATCTAATGGCTGGGTGCAAGCATTTACAGGATTTAGATCTCCCTAAAAATGACCCCAATCTAAAGTTAGTTCTCGCTGGATGAAAACTAGCTGTAGATTGGCATGAGTTAACATGACCTAAAATGGGTCAACCTGATGTAACGCATGCTTGCATGTGTTCCCAGCACTGCCCCAAGACTGGGAAATCCCAGCTATTCTCCATAGCTCCGAGTCTGTGGTGTTTTTACCTCTTCTGCCCCCACAACCCTAGCCCAGATATTTTTATTCCCCCAAAAAACCTCCCCCTGGACCAGGCAGCTCCCCCTGCAGACAGCTCCCCCACCCCAAAGCCTGCCACCCACCCCAGACCTGCCAGTCCTTCCTGCTTCTAACTTATTTGTCTCTGGCAGCTTGTACCTCTTCCTGGTTTAGCAATGAATGCATGCACATGGCCATCCTGACCCAGGTTTAGGTGGCTTAAACTAAGTCACCTAAACCTGAGCTAGGTTCCCTGAAAGTTTTTTGGCACTCTAAGTGAAACAGACAACCTTGGGGCAGGAGCCCAGCTCTGGGGTATTAGCTAACAGTTAAAAGCCTAAGTGGGGGAGGAGTGAGAGAGAGGGAGAGTGTGAGCACAGGCAAGAACAAGAGAGCAAACAAGCAAGTAAGCAGCTTTATCTGAGGAAGGAGCAGTTTGTGGTCAGGAGACAGACTGAAACCCACCTGAGCTCACTTCTAGGAAGAGCTGGAGCTGAAGGGCTCTCTCCTACTGCCTGGAGAAAGACTAAAGGTTTTTCTTGCTTATTTGATTATTTATTACAAAGCCTATGTTTGGGTGTAGGGGACTGAGCAAAGCCAGCCTGCAAGGCAGCAAGTATACTAATGCACTTACAGCCTCTGTATTGAGGACTGGTTCAGGCACTCGTAGTGGAACTGAGCAAAGCCAGCCTGTAAAGCAGCAGGCGCTTGAACCCATATACAGAGTGCATATCAACAATATAGACTAAAGTATGCTAGAGGAATGCTATAGCTAGTCCCTAATGAAATCCAGAGCTAAGGATACACTTAAAAGAATAGCAAACACATTGCAATATGAAAGTGTTCAAGTAGGACGCCCAAAATACCATTAGTGCTGCCCTCGGTTAGTGTACCTGTTTCAAAATAGCTTCCATTTTCCTGTTGTTTTCAATGGGCCTGGACCCTCAGGTAAGATGCTCTCTTATAAATGAGAGAGGTGACGGAAAGAATAGTCTTCCTCCCATGAAAAATTATTATATTTTTATTTTGAAACATTTCTGTCCTAAGTCAGGACAGAAGGACAGTAATTCCTTTTTTTGATACAGGAATAACTATAAATGTTCTGTTTCAGAAGACTAAAAATAAATTTGGGATTTTTAAACTGTACTAAACACCATTATTGTGTTGCAACAGGGCTGTCCAACTTCAAAGTGGCTGGGGACCACAAGTGGGCTGCATGCTGCACCTGCCCCTCCCCAACCTATCATGACACCCCATGCTCTGCTGGCATGCCGTGCGAGTCCCCTACACCATGAAATTCCTTCATCCCTTCCCACCCTCATGGATGTGCCACATAACCACGCCCCATTTAGCATGTGGATGTGCTGTGCAGCCCCCTTCCCCATGCTGTGCAGATGCACTGCAGTGTGCCACACAGCACACACCCTGTGCCTTGCAGATGTGCTGCAAAATACTGTTGCCCTCCGCTCCTGTGGCAGGTGACTCTTGCTGCACCACGCTGATGTGGATGTCTCACAAGGTCCCTGAGCCCTCTGGCCATGGGCTCTCTCAGCCCTGTGGGCCAAGCTGCCACCCCCAGGGATGAGAGCAGGCAGCAGAAGCTAAAGGAGGGAGAGAGAGCCTAGGCACTCCAGCAGAAGAGCAAAGCAAGGAGTTGCACCTGATCCAGAGTCCAGGGTTGCACATTAATCTCTTGGGAACCACATGCAATCCACAGGCCACCAGCTAGACAGCCTTGTGTGTACTATTTATTGATAAAGATTTGTGGTGATGACAGCTGAAATTCAGAAAGCACCAAATCACTTGTTTGGGTCATATAACTTAATTGTTATTGGACTCTTAGGAGCGACTCAAGTCTTACAAAGTCAAGCTGACATGCTCTACTGTTTGAAAAGTAATTGCCTATTAAAATGAAAGTGTAAAGCTCAATGTCATATAACATTCTAGCTTTTATTTGGGGCCATATTTTCCCTTCATTTCTCAGATTTTAAATTCATGTGCGTTTTTACATGTGCTTCAGGAGTGTGGGGGTGGAACACTTTAATTAGAACGGCTCCAAGAGCTGCTCTAATTAAAGTACCCAGAGCATCTTATTTATCAGCATCCCCACACTTCAAAGGGGCGGTGGAGGTGCTTTAACTAAAGCTTGTCGAATGAGCTTTAATTAAAGCACTCCTGCTGCCATTTTGAAGCACAGGGACACTGATACACAAAACACGGAAGCTGCTGGAGCATCCTAATTAGCATGCTCCAGCAGACTCAATTAACTGAGTCTGCTCCAATGCACTGTAATTACAGCGTTTTGGGGCAGCCTCCCCACACATCTGGAGGCACCCAATGTTAACTAAACTGATCTTAGGAATCTTTTTCTGTGGCTTAACTGTAATGCATCACTAGAAAAATAAAACCATTAGGATTATACAAGGAGAGATTCTCCCTAATTTAGAGCGTTTTGTCAGTGAAGGGGAGAGAAGCATCAGAAACCATTCGCAGCATATGGAACCTATGTACTACTGCACTACTCCCAAAATGATTGATGACAAACTAAGCCGTGCTAATTTATACCACTGGCAAATGTTCCTAAGGCACCAAACAGAACTGAATGATTTCTGGGGATGATTTCAGACTCACTGTCCCCAACGCCTCAGGTGAGGGGCTGGCATCATAGAACTAGTTCATTCATAGAACTAATTAATTCACCAAAATATGCATTTGGAGTCAAATTATTATTTGTCCTGGGGAAAGAAAAAATGGGAAGGAAAAATCATTGATTTCAGTCTTTTCAAAATTAGTTACTTTTACTTTTTTGCATTGAAAGTTATCTAAATATATATTTATGTGTAATTTTTGTAAAGAAAGGGGGTAAAATACATTAAATGAAAAATGTTTCTTCAGGGTGGAAGAACTGTTTCATCTAATGGATTTTTATTTGATATTTAAATAATAAAGAAAACCACATTTTCTATTTCTGTTAGAATTTAAAAAAAAAAAAGACTATATTTCATTTTGTGGGCCGGGCACCAAGCTGCAATATTATTTAATTGTCCAACTCTACCTTCAATGTGCTCTTCTGGGCTGGGGAGGTGTCCAAGTTGGATTAACTTGGTATGAAGCTTTTGGTGGCTTAAATTTACCATGTTTGCACAAACTCAGCTGATTCCAGTTCCCAACATGCACCAAATACTTTAAGTACCAACAGCATTATAAATTCAAAACATTCATCATTAAAAGTGTTTGTTCCAAGGTTTCCAAAAAAAAAAAAAATGTTCAGCTCAGTGTAAGATTTGCCAAAGTAAATACAGTAGGTAAAATATTAGAGCTTCTTTAAGGTGCTACTGGCAGGACTATTTTATTAGTTCTACTGGTACATAATTTTCTTGGGAAGCCCAGGACACATGCATGCCATACAAAAATAGAAATAATCCTGGATGTGCTGGACAGTTTCTGCCAAGTGAGAGCTGTGTGCCTATTGTAATAATTACTTCTAGTTACAGTCACCTGTTCCTGGAATGCACTTCATGAATAATGCCTAGCCCTTTTTACACTAAGCATTATTTTTATATTTAGACTACATATGTCATCTTCTCCTATTAAGCTTCTGTATGCATGTAGTATTCTATTAAATTAGTTCTTTTCTTCTTTATAGAACAGCTGATTAAAAGTTGGGATTGGAGTCAGTGTTGTGTTGGGTCTGTAGTAACACAGTATGGATGCTTGCATCACTTATCCCGAAAATCTCTTTCCTTTTAGACTGTTGGCTGTGATTATGAGATAAATTCTAATGCAACTGAAGATCAATGTGGAGTTTGCCTGGGAGATGGCTCTGCTTGTCAGACAGTGACGATGATGTTCAATCAAAGTGAAGGAGTAGGTAAAGAGGTCTTTTTCCCTCTCCTCTTGATGAGACCATTCTGCAAATAAAAAGGCTACAAGTGTCTACTCATTGTAATGTGGTGATCAGTCAGAATGTCAAATTACCATTGATATACTACTGATGTGAAGACTTTGCATCACCTTTTTTAGAGTTATAAGGGATTCCTAGAGCAGGGGTGTATGGACTACAGGTGAACCAATACAAGTTGGCAGGGGGTCAGGAGCATGGCCTGTTGCAGAATCTGGGGCCCTTAGATCCCCATGGACATGACGATCAGTGGCAGGGAAGATGCATCTGTCATGACTATCACAGCCCCAGCTCCTCAGCTGCTGGATTTGCCACTGGTGTGTCCATGCCTCATGCCCCATACTGCAAATAAAATCTCATTAATCTACTTAGAAATTTCCCCAAATGAGCCCCTTGGTAATTACCATGCTTCATTTCTGGATGGCAAAAATCTAAAGCCCATCAGCAACATGCAAGTCAAGAAAGACTGTGGCTGGGGACCCTTGCACAGGCATTATCTCAGTTACCTAATTGTCACTACAGGATGCCCTCAGGTTCAAAAGGTAGCTTCCTGCTACCTTCCCCCTTTACCCATGAGTCCTGAACTGAGAAATGTTTTGCTCTCAAGGGGATTTATAGATGTGCTCGGGGGGGGGTGGAGAGCAGAGGGGCAGGGGTGTGCTTTAATTAACACAGGTCCAAGACCCACACTAATTAAAAAGCGTCCAGAGCATCTTGTGTATCAGTGTTCTCATACTGACAAATGGTAGCAGGGTGCTTTGAATGAGTTTTAGTTTAGAGCCCCACCACCATTTTTCAGCATGGGGATGCTGGCACATGTGACACTGAAGTCTGCTCCAATGCACTGTAATTAAAGTGCATTGGAGCATCTTCCATGCGTGTGTATGTGAGCCCAAAAATCCAACATGATGCCCCCGGGCAACCTGTCTCATTTGAATGCAGAGGAAACAAGAGCTAGTTCAGGGTGGAGGGAAAGAAAGAAATTTTAGAAAGAGTTTGCTGCAAATGAGACTCAAAGGAAGGAGAAATGGGGGTGTGTTGGGAAGAGAGACTCACACTGAGGTGATGGGAGGCTGTGACTGGGAGCCAGAAGGAGGGGCAGTTGAGAACAGGAGCTAGAAGGGAGGCTGGGGTTGGTTTTGCAAAGATACTGGGAATAGCAATTGGCAAGGAGCTGCAAAGTGAAGTAGAACATGGGGCTGGGAATCATTTGATTGAGTAGAAAATAAAAGAAAACAAACCATCTAGAAAAAGTTGGGACGGGACCAGTGAAACTGGGAGGTGAGGGACAGATAGTAATGGTGGGGGCGGGATAGGGAATAGAAGAGTGGAAAGAGATCAGTCAAGAAATTGGTGTTATGAAGGAGGCTGAAGACTGGGTAGACGAAAAAAATGGGATAAGGAGATGGAGAGCGATTAACACCATAAGATATGGTGGAAAACTGCATATAGTAGCTAGTCTGGTGGCAGGAAGAGACAAACAATTGAAACAGGCTGTCAGGAGGGCAGGAAGATTGGGTTTGCATAACAGGTGCAGAGTAAGGCATTACACCTAGCTAGCAAAAAAAGACTGAGACTGGAACGAGAAGTATGAGGTACCCCTAGGTGAGGAGAATGAAACCCTAATGAGTCAGTAAGGCGGGGAAAGGAAAAGAGTGTGACAGGCACAGTTGAGAGGAAATGGGACAGGAAGGGTGAACTTGGGAGGATGAAATAGGAGAGTCTGTTCCCATAAAAAAACACTGCCCTCCAGAGCCATGAATGGAATCGTGGGTCCCTCAGTCTCACCAGGCCTCAATGAGAGCAAGTACCTCTGAAACCCACTGGTAAAGTGTCTCCCATTCCTCTCTGGGTTGGACTACAAAGAAGATGACAAAATAGTACAGCTCTGTTCAGTGAAGTGGCAGACCTCTTTTGTAGTGGATCTGACAGTCCCAAACCTGCCCATGGTCTGTGTCTGTGTCAATATGATGCCACATGACAATGTTGAGGTTCTTAGTTTTCTTTATTTACAGCCTAGGAAATTACACACATGAAAACACACATGTGCACATACCTTTCTTAAAGGAACAAAAGAATACTAGATGAGACCTTACTGAGGTGTACCCCACCTCTGCTACTGGTTTTCTGAGCAAGACACTGAGCAAGTGTCTAGAGGGGTAATGCTATATTAATATAATAATATAATAATATTATAATAATATTATAATATTGCTAGCTATTTCATATCATTCAGATAAATGATCTCTCTTTCCTTCATTGGGATGAAATAACTGCATGAAAAAATACAGACTGGGGAATAACTGGCTAGGCCGCAGTACTGTAGAGAAGGACCTGGGAGTTTACGGTGGACCACAAGCTGAATATGAGCCAAGTGCGCTCCTGTTGCAAAAAGCCAACACCTTCTGGGGTTATAGCAATATTGTCACTTGAAAATCAAGGGAGTGATTCTTCCACCCTATTCAGCACTGAGGCCTCACCTGGAGTCCTGTGTCCGGTTTTGGGCCCCACACCTCAAGAAGGATGGGAATAGTTCAGAAAGAATTCAGCACAGGGCAACAAAAATGTTTAGGGGCCTATGAGACTTATGAAGAAAGGATGAAAGTACTAGGGTTATTTAGCCTGGAAAATAGACTGAGGGGGGATTTGATAAAATAGTCTTCAAATACCCGACAGGTGATTATAGGGAGGATGGAGACAGGCTTTTCTCTGTGGCTGTAGGGCACATGACTAGGAACAACAGCCTCAAACTGCAGCAGGGGATTTAGGATGGAGATTAGGAGAAACCTGACAATGTGGGTGGGCAGACATTGGAACAGGCTACCTAGAGAAGTTGTGGAACCTCCATCCTTGGAAACTTTCAAAAGCAGGTTAGACAGGCACTTGGCTGGAATGGTTTTGTCAGGGATGATTCCGACTTGAGCAGAAGGCTGGACTAGATAATTTTATGAGGTCCCTTCCAGCCTTACATTCCTATGACCCTATATTTTGCCTTTTTTGGCCACCCATTCAGTGCCCAGGAAGCAAATGCTGGCAGTAGATTCTTAGGCATTGTGCACTCCTTTTGCTGCCCCTGTTTTACCAAACATAAGAAAACCTAAAGCAGAGGAATAGCTTATATTTCAGGGAAGTGCCTTTTTTGTTTGTTTGACCTATCGTGTTGTGACTTGCCCTGGGGCTCATTGACACTGGATGTGTCTACATGTGTACAGTTACTGCACAGTAACCAAAATTACTGCACATTATGGGTGTACGTCTACATGTGCAAGCCCATACTGCTCAGTAAATAAGGTGACTTACACTGACTTGAGCGTAAATTTGATACCTGCATCATGCAACTATCAAATTTACGCCCGATTAATTACTGTGCAGTAACACACAGTAGACACCTTACTGCACAGTAACACTATATGTGGACTGATGTGGGACTAAGTTTAGTCCCACGTCAGTCCACACACAGCATTAATGTGCTTTAATGCCTGCATGTGTAGATACTGGCCTATTCCTACATCTACACATGTAAGTTACTGCACAGTAAATTTAAGCCATTATAAATGCATGTGTAGACATGCCTGCTGAGTAGCTGTGGGTCTATATGAATGGTTTTACCATAATGTTGCCAGATCAGTATTATGTGATATAACAACTTCAGAGAGTTGGAGAGCAGAAGGGAACTAACTAGCTTTACTTAGTAGAGTTGCCAAATTGTTAAAAATCAGGTTAGTATGCTGCATACTGACTCTAATTACTAGCTCAAAAAAAAGACATTTTCAGTTTAGCATTCTAGTATTAATAGTCATATTAGTTATTAAAATGACACTGTTCCAAAATGTTAATTGTGTAGGTCAAATACATTAGCAAAAAGGGCATAGCAATAATAATTATGTCTAGATTCTGGCTTGTTAAAATTTCAGAGACTGTGCTTTTTTCACCAAAGATGTGCTTGAACCATAGACACTTTGGATATGAGCTAATTATCCTAAGTCCTGAAATTAGTGCTACACTATGCATGCCTCCCCAGTTGCTTACTCCACGCAGAGTGGAGTCATGCATTACATTTCTATAGCAATATTATTCCCCCTTCCTCACCTAGAAATCCAAATAATCACCATTGAAGTGGAAGTGATGCCTCCTGAGGGGGAGTAGATTTCACCTCCACAGCTGTTCTACACACACCCGTATACAGCCCCAGTGCTCAGGGCTTAAACAGAGGACCTGGATTTCAGAGAGCCAGATTCTATCACCCTTGCATATGTACAGTGCATCCTTCCATTACCCTTATTGATTTCACAGGGTAAGGCACTGCTCAACATACATGTGAAAGAATACGGCCCTGAATGACTTGCTTATAATTGCCATGTTGGCACACTCAGAAGTGGAATCACCTGTGTGCTAGTCCCAGACATTAGCCCTCAGTACCTCCCTTCCTCTTAGTGTAAACGTGTTTGAAATTCTGATGCCTGTCAGAATGATAGGACCATAAAGAAGAAGGGCTGGAAAGGAAACTTCAGAGGTCATCTAATCCAACCCTCTGCCTGAGGCAGGATCATTGCTATCCAAACCATCCTATACAAATCCATTGTCTAACCTCTTTGTAAAACTAGTGTCAACCCTGACACAATACGAGATGTAACACCTTAGCCTGCCACAGGTTAAGCAAAGAAACCACAGCAGCCAACATGGATGACATGGTAGGAGACATGGTAGGAGGTGACATGATAGGAAACCTACAGATCGGTGGTCACCTGGGGGACAGTGATCACCAAATAATAGAATTCATCATAAGACGTCGAGTGGGTAAGGTAACTAGTAGGGTGAAAGTGCTAGACTTTAGGAAAGCTGATTTCAATGAACTCAGGCGTTTAGTCAAGGACGCACTGCAGAGTAGGAGTTTTGAAGAGATGGGAGCCCAAGAAGGGTGGCTGTGCCTTAAGGAAACGATCCTTCGGGCACAGAGGGAGACGATCCCG